CGAATGGAGGAATTGTGGGTTGTGTGTGCCTTTAAAAGCACACACAACCCACAATTCCTCCATTCGCTCCGATGAAGGGCTAACTCTCAATACGTCAGCTTTTGTAGTCGTTACAGTGGCCAATATTTACCATTTCAACTTTGTTGATATATCCAAGTTAATAAAAGGATCTATTTACCAGTTTGAGAAGTTAATTTGCTTGTCTTACTTAAAATAAAGGAGAACACTGGAATAGAGGCACATAAGAGAGTTTTAAGAGACTGGGGAATGGTCTGAGTTAGAAACAGATGATAATTTGAGAACATAAAAGATGAACAACAGACCGAGTAGATTCATCGTGTCTTTAAATCTTGACAATAAATGAACAGAAAACCAAGATGTTAAGTGACAGTTATATTTCGGTATAAACTCTACCATCATCAGACTGAAAATACATACAAAATTAGGAGCTTAAATAGTTACAAAAGGTATGCTCAAGAGAACAGGCAAAGTTCTCTGCTGGATTTTAATCCATTGTTAAGTGATGGAGAATGGCGCTTAATGTGGAAGGCCTCTTTGTATAATAACAGGTTCCAGTTATTGTCATAATCTAACACTGTGGTGTTATTCTGAACTACATTGATTGTGTATTCATTATTGCCGTCATCATACCAACTGTTCCAGATGTAGTATCGAGAGCATCAGTCTTGAACAGAGCTCTAGTAAAGATGAACCACAACGCCCCTGCTTGTAGTAAAAACCTTACTTTTTTAAATAAAAACTCTCTCTCCACAATCACGCGATCCAACATTATACGACATTATAACTGTTTCCAGCAATATTGAATACACAATCAATGTAGTTCAGAATAACACCACAGTGTTAGATTATGACGATAATTGGAACCTGTTATTATACAAAGAGGCCTTCCACATTAAGCGCCATTCATCATCACTTAACATTAAAATCCATTAAAATTAAAATCCAGCAGAGAACTTTGCCTTTTCTCTTGAGTATACCTTTTGTAACTATTTAAGCTCCTAATTTTGTATGTATTTTCAGTCTGATGATGGTAATTAGTTTATACCGAAATATAGCTGTCACTTAACATCTTGGTTTTCTGTTCATTTGTTGTCAAAATTTAAAGACACGATGAATCTACTTGGTCTATTGTTCATCTTTTATGTCAGAGTTAGAGGGGTTCTACTTATTAATAAGAAAAAAGCAAAAAGATTGTAATATTCACCTCTTGTCTGCATGGCTCCCCTTTTTACAGGAGGCTGCAGCAGAAGAACCTGTGGACAGTGAGAGTGAGGAAAGTGATGTTGGTTAGTCCAAACCCCTTTTTTTATGAGGTTTTTAAAGATTTTTAATAGATAACATGAAAGTATTAACTTGTGACTAAATGACAACATTTCCTTTCTAACTTTTGAATAGAAATTGACAAAGAAGGATGCATTGAGCCAGATAACGATGAACCTCAACAAATGGGAGATTCAAGCATTGAGGTACAATTTTTTTTTTTTTTTTGGCATGGAATATTAAATAATAGATTGATTACTGAATTGATTCAATTGAAAAACTGTGTTTTTTTCATTTTTATGAATGGAACAAAGCAGAACCTCAGCCTTTTGCTTAAGATCTGAGATTTTGTAGACTGTTTAATGACATGTTTTTCAAAAACTAAATTATTTTCCTTCCTACTCGCAAGTTAAATGCTAAACCATACAGATGTCAGTTATCCAACTTTATTTTAGTGTGCATTTTGCTTGAGGGACATGTACTTGAACCAGAAGAAATCAGTCAGAACAAAATGAAGAAAATGAAGGAAAATATCACTAGAAACGGATGAGGACTGAAAACTACTAGAAACACACAAGTGACAAAATTGTGATCAATTTTAGACTTGAATGTGAGTGACTGAGACAGAGGTGTTTAGTTTTCTGAACCAATCACTGAGCAACACTGCAATGCAACACTCCTTAACAATTGCTCCAACTTGAAACCTAGTTACTAAACTAAAGAGTGAAAGTTTCTAAAGAAACTGTGGTGCTGCGTCGGTGGGGGTAACAAGGTAATTTGGTTATATCAACTACCGTAACCAGTTAAAAAGCTGACGTTTTGAGCATTAGCCCTTTGTCAGAGCAAAGGGCTAACGCTCGAAACGTCAGCTCTTTTAAACTTGTTATGGTGGCCAATTTACAATTTCAGCTTAGTTGATTTAACCAAATTACCTAGTTAGTGAACTGATGAGAGGTTGATTTCAAAGGTTACAGACGAAATGAGGGATGAATCCTCCTCAAAGAGAATGGAAGCTATGACGGCAATGAATGAAGGTTTGTCTGCTTTCTTAGCGGCTAGTAAAAAAATTATTTTATTATGTAGCAACTAAATTTGCAGTGCGAGTTTCCTATTGGGCAACCTGCGTTGTTTTTCTCAGTGTCCCTCTCCTCCCCGGAGTTGTATCTATAAAGCTTCAGCTTGTATTAGCTCACTTGGCCTCTTTTTTTAACTTGCAAGGCTAATTAAAATGTTTTTTTTTCTTTTACAGGAAACTTTGAGGAGGCACTCAAGCTGTTTACTGAAGCTGTTCTTAAGAATCCATCTGCAAGCATGTATGCTAAACGAGCAAGGTATAGATTATTATTTTATATCAAGTTTTTAATGGTTATTTGCCTCTTCAACCATAATAGCAAACTACAACTGAAAAAGTTGAATTTATGTGGTATTTTTTTTGTCTTATGATGCTTAATTTATATTGATTTCTTCCTTTCCAGTTGTTTTATTCGGATGAAAAAACCAAATGCAGCCATTAGGGACTGTGATGAGGCTATCAAGATCAATCCCGACTCTGCCCAACCATACAAATGGAGAGGACGAGCACACAGGTTGGTAAAATATTATTTTGTTCCTATTTTTATATTACTCTTTTACCCAAAAGTGATTAACAGGTAATTTCTTCCTATAATATCTATAAATTATCTGGGTGAGCAATTAACAAGTAAATACAATACACAAACTTGTCAGGTAGATGTTGTTATTTAGATCAAACACCAAATCCCATTTACTAATTTAGTCAAAGAAGTATGTAGCAGCTATAATGGGGAGAAATAAAAATTAAATATTGGGAATTAAAGGGGTTGGTTCACTGTATCAGTGATTGTTGAACTTGATTTAGAAGGCCTGAACAGTTCTTGATGGTGAGCAAACATTTTAGCATCATACCTGGAACTGCATTCCTCTGTTCTGAAACTATTAGTCAGTGGGGAAAATGAAACCACTCTGAACTTGATCTTCAAGTAATGACCTTTTGGTTCTACCATAAAAAAAATTCCTTTTTCAAGAAACCATTCACTTTTCAAAACTATCCAAATCACTTCCACTTTTTCGATTTTTTTTTTCTATTCTCCTCATATTATAATATTAAAAAGAAATTTCTTTGGCCTGCAGATAGCAAATGCTAATCGAGGGGGGGGGGGGCAAGCTTTTCCTTGACTAATTTATTATTATTATAATAATAGTTTTACTGGAAATAAAACGAAGTTGAAGAAGTATATAACATAAAGAGACAGAAAGATACACACACTGAAAAATGAAAGATGTTCATTGTTAAGGGAAAACAAAGATCGAAGAGTTTCTGAGTGTTGCAACATATTGTAAAACTGGTTCAACTTGGTTCAGTTTTTCTGTGATTGAAACTCAGCATTAACTCATCAAGCTCCATATAAGAATTTTCAGAACAGCTGTTAGTCTGTCAAACTTGACAAAATACAAGTCAATTTTACCCAATTTTTTTTTTGTCCAGACTCCTGGGTCATTGGGCAGAGGCTGCTAAGGATCTTGCTGTGGCATGTAAACTGGACTTTGATGAACAGGCTGATGAGTGGCTGAGGGAAGTAAAACCTAAGGTAAAAGTTCTAGTTAAAACTTTATTTTCATTTAAAACAATGTAGAAATAGAAAGATTTCATGGGGGGAGGGGGAAATATCAATTAAAGTTTCAAACTTAAGTAAACTCTCATTATAACTATAAGCTGGCCATTTTATTTATAATTATTATTGTATTTATAATTATTATCTATAATTGCTTCAGTCTATTAATGATCATTACTTTTATCTAAATTGTTTATAGATTTTATTAAGCATTTTATTGTTGTTGTTGTTGTGATTTACTTAGGCACAACTTCTACTAGAACATCAGAGAAAATATGAACGGAAACGTCTAGAGAAAGGAGAGAAGAAGAAAATGGACAAAATGTAATGTGCTACAGACTTTTGTTGTATAAACTTCGGTGTTTTACTAGGAGTTCCAGCCCTGAGAAAAAAGGCAACTGAACATGTGTAAAATTATGATTATCTCAGCTGATACGTCACTCATCTTTTGCACCACTCAGTGAAGGAGGGGAAAGCATTCACCTTTCTCAATCCAAGTTTGTTTGTCAACTTTTCTTGTCAGTAAAAACATGACTTTGTGGTTTTTATACAATAAGCAGATTAGAAGTTCTTGCGTTCAACTGGAAGAGAAATTCCATCTATCTATGAGTTCCCGTGTATTTTTCTCCCTATGTTTCATTGTCTGTTTTATGTCATCTATAATTTGATTATTGGGTATTGATTTACACTTTGTTTTGAACATTCCTCTTGTTAGCAAAAAGGCAAAAGAAGCTCAAGAAAAAGCCAGGAAGGTAAGTTGTCTCTATATGGTCGGTCTTTGTGATTTTTAGAGCAATTTTCAATCAAATGTCCTGAGGTCTTCAAGACTGCTGTCAGTGGTTCTGGCACCACTACATATATCTTATTAACCAAGCGCGAGGGCCGTACTGGGAGAATATCGGCCCGAGGTCTTAACAGTACAGACCGAGTGCAGTGAGGTCGGTACAAAAAAGACCGAGGGCCGATACTCTTCCAGTATGGTCCCGAGCAAGCTTGGCTAATAAGAGATTTATTATACGACTGAAGTTCAAAGGGACACAAGTGCAGTATCATTCGGGACAGTGCCCGGTCCAATACTTAGAGAATATTGGACCGGCAATAGAGCATTTTTATTGGTTGATTTTAGTTATTGGCCCTTTGACTGCCTAAGTCGTGTAATAAATTCTTATATTGAATAAAAGGGGTAAGTTTCTAAAGAAACTGTGGTGCTGGGAAATGTCTCTTATATCGGCCTAGAGGACTACTGCTACTCTTTCAACTAATCAGTAATCAGATACAAGCACATTTTACCTTGAAGTACAACTTTACCTTGCTCAGCCAGATCTAGTTCCCACGAGGGGTAGGAATTAAGGGGCAATAATCTCAGATTTGACAAAATTCCATTAAACTGAAGCAGAACCCAAAACAAGTGCAGCAAACCCACAGACTTGCATGAATTGATTCAGGCAAAACTGGAAGTGATTAAATGGAATGCATCAGAAGTCAGTGACAGAACATTATGATAATCCTAAATTTCTTTAAGATTTTCTCACTTTGTTTAGAATGTATTTAGGTAACCTTTGCTTGTTGTATCAGGTCATTATAGGGTAGTTGCACTAATAAACAGCTGTTGCTTTGAACTGCAAAGTTGGCTTGACCTGTTCGCTTCTAAAATTTGTCTTTGATATTCAATTTCCTGTTATGAAAAGCATATTGCTTCTTATGCATTCCAAGGTTTTACTCTTGCTCTTTCCTTAACCTCTCCTCGCCTTAACAGGAGGAAGAAGAAAGGACAAAAAGGACACGAGGGTCCACAACATATCGAAGTGGCTTTGAAGTTCCTGACCCAGGGGTCTACCCTGAGGAAGATGCGTTCCCTCATCCCGGAGGTCCGGGAGGACCAGCCACTGGAGGTATTTTCTCTGACAATTCTATTAGAAGGCATCCGTTTGTTTGTATAGTATTAAATATATTAATCAGTAGTTTCACTAGCAACCTTTGTGGCTTCCCTTGGTGTTGATATATGGGATCCCATGAAAATGGGTTCCCACTCCACTGATTAACAATCTCGTGATCAGTGGGTAAAAATGGAACAAAACGTATGCAAGGGTGGGGATTCATTGGTATTTTTTCTGACAATTCTATTAGAAGATATCCATTTTACCATTGATTGGCCTTTAAAAGCAGAGATAAAATGTTGTGTCTATGTAGTGGAACAGTGCCTCTACATATTTGGTTAAACTTTACAATTGCAAATCTTGCCAACATACTGATGAATAAGAAGACTGGATTGAATGTTAACATGTAACTTCATCCTAAAATATCCATACATTATCCAGCAAACAGGTAANGGTCAGAATCACAAGGTCACCGTGCTTTGTGATAATCTAGTGAATTGTGATTAACCAAAGAGAATCTCAGAAATCTTTACCACCCCAAAATTTTTAATTTGTCAGAACCGCTAGGCTGGGGGTAATCCAGCATCCACCAGCGTCCCCTCCAGAAAAGGGGGTCCAGAGAGGGGGGGAGTCCAGAAAGGGTGGAGTTCAGAACAGGGGTGTGATAAAAATACCCTCAATTCCCCCATATTACTGTTCAAACTACCATTTCTTAGATAAATACAGATGTGTGATGTGGATCACTCGAGGTAATTCATGTAATCCTCTAAGACTCGTTTATTTCTTGAATTTGTTAGGGGCCGATACACCAAACTTGAACGCGCTACTGAGTGATCCAGAGTTGTTGGAAGCTTTTCAGGTTGGCATGAATGTTGTGAAAATCGCAAATTGTGACGCAACGTCAATTTTGAGTCGAGAATCGAAAGTGATCGTGGACTGCATTTGTTTTTACTTAACTGCGCCTTTTTGTTTGGTCAAGAATCCCTCATTCTGACTCAACAAGAGGCTATCTTTTTTTTATTATTTTCAGGATCCTGAAGTGATGGCCGCCTTCCAAGACGTGAGCCAAAACCCAGCAAACCTCTCAAAATACCAACATCTTCCCAAAGTCCAGATGATCGTCGACAAACTCGCCGAGAAGTTTGGTCCCGCGGGATCTGAACCGCCACCTGATCCTAGCGAGTTTTCCGGGGGTGGATTTCCCGGTGGGGGTTTTGGAGGTGGATTTGGAGGCGGGTTTCCTGGCGGGGGCTTTGGAGGTGGCTTTCCCGGCGGGATGTCATTTGGGAACATGTTTGGCGGCGGGAGGTGAATTGTAGTGAACTCGAATTGTACGGTGGAGATCCTTTCTTTTTCCTTTTTTACTGCGCGAAAGGAAAACGTGTAACATTAACATGTGATTTTGGACGTAAGCTATGTATTGTAATCTTAATACACATAAATTACTCTGTGTTCAGAATAGAGAGACCTTCCTATTTCTTTAAAAGTAACGTGCAGCCAATCTCGTATTAGCCGAGGGCGGTAATGAGTTCGTAGTCATTCTACAATTTCTACCAGAAACCGAAAGGGAGGCTCTGTTCCATCCAGTAAAAGTGCTTGACAATAGTCTCCCTTCCAGCCCTTTCCGGCGTCGTCACGCAAGCGAAAACTCCCCCACCAACGGCTGCTCACATTCGAACAACATTCCTTTCCGGAAATTGGCCAATCAGCATTTACTTACCATATTCTGGAAAGCGTTCGCGCCTCAATAATCAAACCAATCACAGAGTTCGTATTATCCGAGCGTTGAAACTGACAAAATGGCGTCTGTTGAAGACGCTTTCGACTCAGTGCGAGATACTTTTGGTATTGAGAACTTGAATTCGCATCAGAGAGAAGCCATAACAGTAATTATAGAAGAACTTTATAGAAGAACTTTATAGAAGAACTTTATTAGAAGCTTGTAGCACTCGCGACAAATTGATCGCTCTCTCGAGTTAGAATAGCTGTAGAGGTCAACATCGATACAAGCCTTTATTATCTCAGGAAAATACCAAGCACTTCTCCCAAATAAACAGTTTTTATCTTTAGAAACAGCAGAAGAGCAAACAAAACAGCGATCATTATCTGATATTTTCTTCGGAGTTTCGATAACATCGCATTCCATCTTTAGAAACTAACGCTAACGCGCTTCCTGTGAATTCGCGGGAATAAAAATATCGCGTGTTCATTGGTTGTTTGTTAGACAATAATATATATTATTGAGACTTTATTTTGATTGGATAACACATTACAATGGGAAAGGAATGTTGTTCGAAAGTGAGCAGCCGTTGGTGGGGGAGTTTTCTCTTGCGTGACGACGCCGGACATGGCTGGAAGGGAGACTAGCTTTACAAGTGAGGTCAACTTATATCCTAATTGTCAGTTTACAATTGAACTTTTAGTCGTTATACCGTTGTACTGACAGAAGCCATTTGCTGACGCAGTTTGAACTATTACTAACTCTTAAAAACTACAAACTGAAAATAGGCAAGATCATAACACCGTTAATAAACTTGTAGCACCAATAAATGCAGCACTTAATCTCAAAGCAAGTTCTTGAAAGGTAACAAATGATCTGTGGTGCCAACAAATAAATCTTTCTCTTTCCCTGAACTTATTTGCAACTGCGTCTCCTCGCCTAGCCACTACATCCCTCTTTAACTTCTCAGGAAAGTTTTTCGTAGACTATATTATTGAGACAAGTGAATCAGGAATTTTTTTTCCTTTTTTGCGTCGAGTTGGATCGCGGCTCAGGGCTCCAGGTTTATACAGAGCTTCTTCCGCTTTAAATGCCTCGGACGTCAATTTGAAATTAGCTAAAATTTTAAGCCCAAAGTACGGTGTCTTCCCATATATATGTGAGCGCCTTCGACCGACACTGATATTGGATCGTGCGAAGTTAACTTTATCAGATAATTTTGGGAACAATTTAACGTCAGCTTGAAATAAATGAAATGGCTCGAAAACATCTTGAAAGAAACTGAAGCAGGAGAGCTTCAGTCTCTTTCATGCGAAACTGAGTACAAGCGCAATGACCAACGCTTTAGAATCATCCAGTACAGAGAGGGAAGTGAAAAACTTAACTACGAAGTTGAGTGTCCAAGAAACTACGGGGATATCCAATAATTCGCGAGAATCATCTCGAGTTACGTTTAGACGGGCCACCTTTTCAGGTGTTCAAGAAATGTCACTCTTGCGACAGCGGTCTGCTACCTGGATTCAAACTCCTCCACGGCCTTTGGCCGGGCACAAGACGCCTCAGTGTTGGTAACACCACCTTACAATTGTAATCCCCGGTTATAAGAGAGAATTGGTCTTCACTGGACTCGGTTTCTGATACGCAGCCTAGGCGGACATTTCACCGTCGAGGATCCGTACTTCAACGCGGACGGTCGAATAGTATCTTTGCGAGGGGTCTGGTACCCGGCCTCGCCTTGGTGCTGATGAGGGTGAGACGTTAGGGTAGACTGAGCACAAGAGAGATCAAGATATTCCAGGTAAGTTACAACAGGTTATCAGGGTTTGTAAAGCGTCAAGGGTTTTTGAAAATGAAAGGTATCTAAATTAGTCGATTTATAAATAAAACCAGGAAAAGTACTCTCGCCCCCTCTCCCCGCGGCATCATCAGCAAGGTTAGAACAAGGACAGGACTACAGAAAGCGGCGAAAACGGAACTCAAAGAATCCCTAAACGTTTTTTTTTTTTTTTTTTTTTCAATTCCAAAGAAAATTTGGTGTTGTATCTAGACGACATCATCCATATGTTTATTTTGTCTTTTCCACCCACCAGTTTACCGGTTCATCAGTACCGAGAGAAGAAGTTATATTGTTGATCAGTGTTTGGAGTTTAAGAGTTAAGTAAACACTTTTGCAGTCTACTTACATGACGCACCCAGCGATAGCTGAAAAAAAGGTTTTTGTTCTGAGCATATTTGGGTATGGATTTCCTCCTGATTTTAGAAGGAAATTAACACCACAGGAAATCTTAATTTCACTGACTGAATCCATAGACTTGTTATGAAGTAAGGGGGGGTAAGTTTCTAAATAAACTGTGGTGTGGTGTCGGTGGGGGTAACAAGGTAATTTGGTTGTGTCAACTGAGTTGAAATTGTAAATTGGCCACCGTAAAGACTTGAAAAGCAGAAGTTTCGAGCGTTAGCCCTTCGTCATTTGCTCTAAAGAAGGGCTAACGCTCGAAACTTCAGCATTTTGCTCTTTACGGTGGCCAATTTACAATCTCAACTTAGTTGATACGACCAAATTACCTTGTTATGAAGTATTTAGTTAGTTTAGTCAGTTAGCTGGTCAGTTCAGTATGATCTAATCTTTCATTATATTTAGAATTTAGTTACTGTAAGAATTCCGCCGAACTCAGTCCGAATAATTGTCGCGATGAGTTTTCGAATTGTAACTGTCTTGTCTAACCTCCAAGTGGATGTGCCTAGTTTGTCTACTGTCTTTGCTTCGGACCCACACAAAAGTTTTTGTTTTGGCTGACGTAGTCAGAGTTTGATTCAGTTGATCGGAAGCGTCATCATTAAAGATTTTTGCTGAGCATGGTGTGCTCGATAGCTAGTTGCCCAATTTATTTGATAGTTTAACAGAATTTTTCTAACTACACTCGTGAAACACTTGAGGTAGGTTTTTTCAACCAATAATGAGTCCGAACAGGAGCCCGTTGTCCAGGTTATAGACGTCGACCATCTCAGCGACGCGCGGATAATAGAGAGAACCTGAAACAAAGATTGCTAGAATAATATTATAAACAGCTGGATAAATCTTTACACCGGAATGAACACTTGAAAAATCCGGAAGTCCAAAATCAAATCATAACACACCCATCGCGTTTAGGTACAGAGAGCGTAATCCAGATTTCGAAACAAAACTAATTTTTGAACCCTTGTTTCTTGACGTTATGATCTGCGTTAAATCCAGTTTGATGAATGCCCTAACCCTAAGCTTATATTCTTGCCTTTGTTTATTGTTCTGCCAGGATGAAAGCGCACGCAACGATCGTTCGTCACGACATTACTCATAGCACGCTTTGGCGCGATTGCACGGACCAAAAGAGGTCAAAAGAGGTGCAAATTACTACAGTTCAAATCAAAAACTATCTTTGTTGGTAGATGTGCATTATATTTTAATTTGAAAAAAATTATTTTTATCACAAAAGCACTCAGAAATCGAGAAGGATTTTAATTATAGGGTCAAAGGTGTATAGCCTCTCTTCTCGGATTTCCCTGGCATGTCATCTCAGTGTTATATCCAAGGAGACATGTGATACAGTTGATGTACTTGCCCTAAGTCATTTTCTCCCTATTTTGGGACTTTTTAAGGGTTTATTCTTTTCTTTTTAGGACGAAAATGCTTCCATCGTTTGAAAAGAGACCGTATTTATTTTCAAAGCGAGATACAAATCCAAACTGGCGGGAACTAAGCGCGGTTAAGAACGTTTCCAACGCGACAGAAGTTGACAGTGCAGTAACCGATCGTGAACGCGCTAAAAACACTAAATCGCGATTACATTCTCGATCGAGTCATAGACACGATAGTCTTCCTACGATCAAAGAACCATCAGCCCCGGAGGTAACACGAACTACGACACCAAGCACAGTCGCGGTAAGCGATGAAGGCGGTCTGTGGCTTGGACCGAAAAACGAAAACGTTCGCTTGTGCATCAAGCGTTGGAAGAAAATGGGCCTGAGCAGATCGAATGCGTCCAGCTTTCATTTCGAGGTATGTATTTCATCAACCAGGTTATAATCGCAAAGATAAGATACCAAACAATTTTATTCTTTCGTATTCATTTCATGAGGTTTTTCCCCGTCCTCAAAATTATCGTGGCCCAAGTCTACGTGGGGCGACGGCCTTGTCACGGTATCAGTATGCCACTAGGAAGTTATCAGGAAATTGAGTTTATCATTGCCAATTGCAAGACAATAATTGTTTACATTTTAGCTAAAGGGATTTTTTGAAGTTCGTGGGCGGTTAACGTAGCTGTTTCCCACTCCAGACAGAGAAAGAATGTGTGCCTTGAACGATACGATGAGTTTGCAACAAAAAAATTAGGCCAGAGTAACGGAGAGCCGTGGCAAGGCGATTGCAAAGTAGATATATCCCAACTCATGTTATTCGCTGTTTTAATATTAATTTCATCTTCATTCTCGTATTGTCGGTCTCCCATTTCTCGTCTCCCATTTCTCAAATGTACTGCGATTTAAAATATCGAAATCATGATATCTTTCTAGGGTCACTGCTAAAATTAACATTCTGCGTCCCATGAGGTGAAGCCGGACTGTCAGTCTCGTTGTGAAATGAGGGGAAATAAACTCTGAGGTTGTTAGTGGCGATGGTAAAAAATTTTGGGGCGTTTTCTATTAATACGGAAAACCGGAAGGTATTTCCTTTCAAAACGAACAGGAATGATGGAACGGGAAAAGCAAGTTACTTTTAGCACAGTGTGGACTTTATCACGAAGCGCCGGGGTCTTAAAATTTTTAACTGTAAATCTGGTTCTGTCCTCGTGTCCCGGTTCACAAGAGCCAATACAAAAGACCAAACAATAGCCAATAGCGAACCAATAACTCCTAAACAAAGAAAGAACAATGGTAATTCCCTTGTGAACCGGTACAACAGGACAGAACCGTAAATCTGAGTGGCCATAACTACGTACTTTAATGTATAACACGGTGCGGCTAAGAGGAGTCTGTTGAGTTGCCGGTAGTCATGGTCATTGTCTGTCTCAGAATATTACCCACCGAATAGGCTGAGAATTCTCAACAAATGGAGAGCGCTCTTTATATGAAAGTGTCCACGTATGCGGTATGAAGATTGACCAAGGCTTTTTGGGTGTCCCAGCTGCAGTGGAGAGAAGCCTATCTTTCATGATGCTAAGCAATATTGTGAGCAATACGAGTTTATTTATCCACACCTTTCGCTACGATGGCCTTTATATAATCTTTATGTTTGTCTGCAAAACATTTGGTGTCCAGAATTTAAATGTTAAATTTACCGAGACTTCTATCAGAACCGTCCCAGATAAGCTTATATCTAGCAAGCACTACTCCTGGTTGATAGTCTCTGATCTGTGTGTATTCTTGGTTTTTATCTAATTATCTCAAATAGTTCGCTTTATTTCCACAGCCCCTGCTGAGCTTCAGAAAGTTAGTACGGATGGTTCTGATTGTAATTAGACTTGGAAGTGCTCTTAAAAGGTGCGTTGCCATTCATTTTAATGAAGAGAGACAATCTTGAGGCGTGACATACCATAGATGTACTAAGTACATCTAAGGCAAAACTGAGGGCGGGGAGAACAACGGCCTTGCTTCGAAAAACAAGTGCGCCGGGGAGAATAGGGACCTTAAGAAACCACGACGGCGACGCCAAGGAAGACTTCGATTAAAAAATGAATTTCTACTCTTAGTTAGAATTTCAAAAATGGCTACAGGAGCTTACTGTCTCATACAGCGCCACAGCTCAACTTCAGCATGACGTATAAAG